GAGAGAGAGAGAGAGAGAGAGAGAGAGAGAGAGAGAGAGAGGGAGGGAGGGAGGGAGGGAGTTTTGTGCTTGGAAGCTATGCCTTCCTCTGACCCATGTGTCTGCATCCTTCTGTGGCCTAGAGGTGTCAGCAGGCCCTGCTCAGAGCAGAGCTGCAGTGTTGAGAGCAAGCCTCCTTACCTTGTCAATCTTGGAGGGTTCAGTTTTTGCCCCATATAGCTTAGGCATAGGCATGCTCAGATCTCTCCAGTTACTAAGTCCCTCTTGCTGAGTCTGCCTAACGGGTGAGTGCTGGGTGCTGCTGAGTGCTGGGTGCTGCTGAGTGCTGGGTGCTGCTGAGTGCTGGGTGCTGCTGAGTGCTGGGTGCTGCTGAGTACTGGGCTAGCTGTAGGGATTTCCTGCTTCAAGCTATTGTTATGGAAGGTTACACTGCTTATTTCAGTGTGTGAACCAAATAAACATTCATCCAAGGACCAAGGAAGGCCCCACCATTTAAAGGGACCACCTCCCACTAGGCTTCATTTCTCAGCAGTTCCAGGAAGCATGCCTGCAATGCATAGACCACCCAGGACAGTCAGCACATGGATTCGTTACCTCTGGGTCTGATCTCAGGGTCATTCTGTCCTTGTGAACTTTGACTTTCTGAGAGTTTATAGAATCAACATTTCTTCAACCTCCAAATGTTCAGTGCATCTACCAGTGGCTACATTTGGGACAAGAATTTCTTTGTGGTAGTGATTTCTATTTTATTTATTTATTTTGTTTTGTTTTGTTTCTCAAGATAGGGTTTCTCTGTGTAACAGCTCTGGCTCGTACTCATGGTCATATGGAGATCAAAGGACAGCTTCTGGGAATCAGTTCTCGCTTTCCATCCTGTGGGTCTCAGGGATGCACCAGGATCCTCTCAACTGTCTTAGACTCAGGTTGTAGACCTTGGTGGCAGGTGCTGCCAACCCCTGAGCCACCTCACCTGTCCTCTGTCGTTTGTTTTTGTTTCTGGTTTTGTCTTATGTGGCACTGGGAATCAAACCCAGAGCTTTGTGCACGCTAGGCAGGCCCTCTACCAACTGCGCCCCATCCCCAACCTTGTGCAAGGCCTTTTGACTATAAATTGAACTTTAGTAGGCACAGGATTTTTCTGGTTCCTTTTCCTCTTGGGTCAGTATTAGCAATTTTTGTCCTTTGGGGAATTTTTCTGCTTCATCTGAGTCGCCAAATTTTTGATCATCAGGTTTTTTTTTCTTTTATAACTCTGAGACGTTATCTTTCCTCCCTCCCTTTTGTCTCCCCATCCCATGAGTGCACCCTAATGAGCCAGCAGCTCTCCTGCTGCCCTTTCCTTCTGTGTGCTGACCACACAGGGGCTCCTGACTGAAATGCTGCTTTCCCAGTGTCTGCTGAGTGGGAGGCAATGATTCATCTTCGGATCCTGACTTTTTTCTGCAAGTCTTTCCAGATTTAATTGTGGGTTACACTGACTTTCTGGTTGGTCCATTTTATTTATTTATCTTTTTTTTTTTTTTTTTTTTTTTTTAAGATTTAGGGCTAGAGAGATGGCTCAGTGGTTAAGAGCACTGACTGCTCTTCCAGAGGTCCTAAGTTCAATTCCCAACAACCACATGGTGGCTCACAACCACCTGTAATGAGATCTGGTGCCCTCTTTTGGCCTGCAGGGACACATGCAGGCAGAACACTGTATACATAATAAATAAATCTTTAAAAGATATATGCCTGCATGAGGGTGCCAGATCCCCTGGAACTGGAGTTACAGACAGTTGTGAGCTGCCATGTGGGTGCTGGGAATTGAACCCGAGTCCTCTGGAAAAGCAATCAGTACTCTTTTTTTTTTGGTTTTTCGAGACAGGGTTTCTTTGTGTAGTTTTGGTGCCTGTCCCGGATCTCGCTCTGTAGACCAGGCTGGCCTTGAACTCACAAAGATCCGCCTGGCTCTGCCTCCTAAGTGCTGAGATTAAAGGCGTGCACCACCACAGCCTGGTGCAGTCAGTACTCTTAACCACTGAGCTCTCTCTCCAGCTCCCTGTTGGTCCTTTTGTTTGTTTCTGTTTTTCCGAGTCAGTGTTTCTCTGTGTAGATCTTACTGTTCTGGAACTCTTTCTCTCTGGAGACCAGGCTGGTCTCGAACTTGGAGAACCACCTGCCTCTGCCTCCCAGGTGCTGGGTTTAAAGGCGTATGCCACCACCACCTGACTCCAGTTGGTCCATTTTAATTACAATTCTATCTACTCATTTTTCTTCTGCTTTGTTGGTATTTAATCTCTCCACAGTCCTTGGAGGGGGCAGCCCTGCCACACCTTCCCCGCAGGCCTGGATCTTGGGAGGAGCAGGGCCCTACCACCACCTCTGTTGGCCCTGACCTGCTTCTCTGGAGGGGTCCTAAGTCCTCTTCTCCCAATGCTGGGGTGGATGAGGGCAGTGTGATCATCCGGACCAGAAACTCAGGCTCCGAGTACAAACCACAGTGTTCAGAGCAAAGGGCTCCCCAACTTCCTCCCTTCTGCCCCTCAGTTCCTGTAAGCCCCAGGTGGCCAGAGCCCTTGCCAGCTCTTGGTGCCAGGGTACCCCACCTCACTTCTGGACCGGGAGTGAACCTAGACGATGCAGAACCACAGGCGACCACGAAGGGGCAATGTGGCTTTAGAAACGGCCACAGGCACGGATTGTGTACACAGGCATGTGTGACCCAGTTCTCTTCCAGGTACCCACGGTTTGTCCCGAACCTGTACCTGGTCCCTCGTCTTCTCTCCCACCCTAGATCCAGTGATCCTCACTGGCCAGGCCTCTGAAAACCTTTCAGCATCCTCACTGCCAAGGGGTGCCAGCTGCTTGAGGACCAGCTGCCGGAAGGAAGATTGGTGGGGGAGGGGAGGAAGGCGCGAAGAGATGATGGGGGCGGGGAGCACTGCTGAAAGAGGCAGAGGAGGGTTCACCCCGAGTTCAGGCCCCCTCCAGGCCTCCCCTCAGATGGAAGCTCCCCACTCCCAGAGACACAGACTGAATTTCAAGAGCTGACAAGCTTGAGAGTCCTGACTGGAAGTCAGCGCAGGGCCACAGCTTGACACACCAGTGCTGGTATGGGACGGAGAGGCCTTTGGCAAGGCAGACAAGGGACGGGGACAGGGGATGTGCATTGGAGCTCCTGAGGCCAGCAGGGAGCCATCCTTCCTTTCCTGCCTCTGGGGCTGGGCAGGGTATTGGATGACGTCGCTCTCAGGTTGCATTTACTGACATCTCCCCCTGAGCCCCTCTCAGGGAGGGTCCCTTGTGCTCTGCCAGCAAAGCCTGGGGGCTGGGCTGTAACTCCCTTGTCTCGGGGCAGTTGGGATGCTTGTAGCCCAGTTGAGGGGGGCTCTTAGAAGCCTGTGAGGTGTCCCACTGTGCCAAGGTGGGTAGGGTGGAGTATGTCAGCCGCTTCCAGTCCTCGCCCCAACAAATCAGGGCAGCAGCATATGGTCAGCAGGCCTTTGTGTACCCAGAAGAGTGGGCTGGGATGCTGCCAAGGTCCCATCACAGGCCCATCCCTGCCCCGCCTTAGTGCCTCTGTTGGATTCCATTCCCGGCCCTGGCAACAGCCAAGTCTGGCTCCCAGCTGGCCCAGAGCGACAGGTACCTGTGCTGTCAGACAAACCAGGGTGCAGAACAGGCAGTGGATGGGTGCAGTGGCCAGTGAGGACCTCGGTCTCCAGGGTCCCTAACGAGAGGCAGGCCACATCTGAACCTCACGTAGCCAGCTGATGTCCAGCAGAGGCCCACAGCCCTGGGAAGGCAGTTTAGGGCTCTGTACCTCATACTCAGGTCCAGAGACTGGGGAGGACGGTCTACAGGCTTTGTCTAGAGATCTGTGGGTGTCTAGGTGTCCTCTTCTGAGAAGTGGGGTGCAGTTCCTACTTCAGCAGGCTTCAGGCTTAGGGAGCTCACCTGGCATTCACAGGACTGAAGGCAGGTCCACACAGCTCTGGGACTGCAGCCTGGGTGGCATGCCTCAGTGTCCCCGAGGGCCTTCAGAACCCAGTGGGGTATGGCAAGCCCCAATCAGGTGCCGAGGCGGAGACCGTGGAGGGCAAGGACTGTGGGAACAGGGAGAGAGCAGATGTCACTGGTGGCCACAGTCTCCCCAGGGATGGGAGGGGCTGTCATCCACAAGTGGAGCGGAGGGACGATGGGGCTGACCTTGTGTGGTTCCTGGGCAGGCCATCCCAGGTGGCTCGGAGAGGAGGGATGGCATGTGTACAGGGCTCTGTGGCGGAGGTACAGCTCTACCTGGACCTCATCTTGAAATGCCGGTGAAGACTCCCCAGCGGAACAGCGCCCTCTTACTCTCGGACCCACTTCCTTGGATTTTGAGGAAGCTCTCCAAGGCTGTCTTTGTGGCACAGACTGAAGCCTATTGGGCAGATCGACCTCTTGATCTGCCCAGTGGCCTTTTCTGTTCAGTGAGCCCCTAGGACACACAGCCTTCTACGCCGCAGCAGCCCCTTCCGGAGACTGCAGGTGTGGCCTTCGTTCCTCTCTACCTCACACCTCTTCCTCGATTATGTAGTCCCCCAGGCCTCCTACTCCAGCCACCTGACCTGCTCTGAGGTTCAGATTGGACACTGCCCATATCGTCTTAGACTGCTGAATACCCAGGGCCACAGAGGCCACTGGGACCCTCTGGCCTCTGCTACTCAGTTTACCCTCAGTTTTCCACCCCACCCTTATATCTTGACAGACCTCTCTGTTCTCTGACACCCAACATGCCCAGCCAGACCCGGGTCCCATGACCCAGCAAACATGAATTATCTTAATTTCTTTAAAAATGAGGCGAAATAGTAACCTTTGGAGGTAAGAAAATGTTTTACTTATACTATTAATAGAGTTCCTGTATGCCAATGTGACCATCACACAGTTTTCTTCTTCTTCTTCTTCTTCTTCTTCTTCTTCTTCTTCTTCTTCTTCTTCTCCTTCTTCTTCTTCATTTTTTTTTTTTTTTGAGACAGGGTTTCTCTGTGCAACTTGAGCTGTCCTGGAATTCTTCCTGTAGATCAGGCTAGCATCGAACTCACAGAGATCCACTGCCTCTGCCTCCTGAGTGCTGGGATCAAAGGCGTGCACCACTACCACCTTGCTAGTTTGACGTTCTATGGTGGAGATGAATGGGAAAATGAATTGTGTCCCCCATCCACCAGCCCCAGGGCTCTTTCATCCCAGGCTGACTACACTGATGTCATTCCCTGGGATGGGCGCCCTGCTGGACTGGCAGACCTGGGGGTAAGGTGGATGCAGCCATGGCACCCACAGGTCTGACTGCCCTACTGAGGCCCTCAAGGATAGCAAACCCACCTGTCTCCCCACCTTGCTGTCTTGGCTTGTGGCTCCAGGGCTCTACAGAACTTGGGGATCATGTAGCCTATCCCCAGGGGTGCAAGGAGGGCTCACAAAGCTTCTGGGACCAGGAGGGCTTTGAAGTGACCTAGAGGCCCTATAAACTGGCTAATGAGGTTGATGAAACCAATAAACGCAAAACGCCAATGAGCTTCTTCAGAGGCTTTGGGGAGTACTGGATGCCAAACTTCAGGCTTGTGAAGCCTTGCTTGCTTAGAGCCTGGGCCAACACCACCTGCCAGGGCTCTCCTTCACCTGCTCACCTGTGAGGTGGCAGTGGTTCTGCCTTGAGAATCACCCCCTGCTCTGCTTGGCTGCCCTCAGCCCTCCCTTGGATCATGGGAAAGTTCTAAGGCACATAGTTAAGGGGTGCTGACAGTTTGACAGTGCATTTATCTTCCACCAGTGTGAGTGTGTGTGTGTGTGTATGAAGCATATGTACGCGTAGATGTACAGTGGTGCTCACCCAGGTGTGTACATGTGAAGATCAGAGGTCTACATTAGGTGTCTTTATGCTCTTCACCACATGTTTTGAGATAGGGTCTCTCACCAAACCTGGAACTTACCATTTTGGCTAGGCTAACTGGCCAGCAAGCTCCTGAGATCTGCCTCTCTTTGTCTGCCCCAGTACTGGGGTTACAGATATGCTCCACCATCCCCAGCTCTTTACCTGGTGCTGGCAATCCATACTTGGGTTCTCATGCTTGCTCAGCAAATCCATTATCCACTGAACCACTTTGCTAGCTTTTTCATTTGTTGGGTTTTTAATGGGGGGAGGGTGTTTGTTTCTTTTTTCAAGACACGTTTCACTATGTAACTCTGGCTGTCCTGAAACTCACTATGTGGACCAGACTGGCCTTGAATTAACAGAAATCCACCTGCCTCTGCCTCTGGATTAAACGTGTGCATCACTTCGCCCGGCTTCCATTTCCCCAGCTTTAAGCATCTCATTTTATAGCTGGAAAACCGAGGCTTATTAGTTACAGAGATGCTCTAGGCAGTGGCAACTTCTGGATGGCAGGTTTCCCTCCCTCTTCCAGGTGGAGGCTGGAACTCCATGGAGGGGCTCTGACCCAGAGCAGGGCTCTGCCTCCTGAGCGGCACTCCTGAGTCTAAGCAGTTGTAGAGCGAAGGCTAGAGCCCATACCTGAGGCCATGCCCAGCCCTGGACCCTCTGAGGCGCTCAGCATGGACTACAGAGCCTTGGGGCTTTCCCACGGTGCAGGTGTGGTCCAGGATGGCCTGGGGGAGTAGCCTAGGGGAGCAGGGGGCTTTCCTATGAGAAAGGGCTCTTCCAGCCATGCCTTGTTCAGGGCCTCTATCGGAAGCCAAACACAGAGCAGGGGAATGTCAACATCTCAGGCTTGCCACCTGGCATCTGGTGCCCAAGGGCTAGGCGGTGCCGGTGGGGGACACTGCCACCACCCGCAGCCAAGAAGCTCCAAGCTATTTATAACATGGCTGAGAGAAGCTGGGCAAACATCAGCTGTCCCCTCCCCACTCCCCTTGACCTCCAGGCCGTGTGTTTTCACTCTCACTGGGCAAATAGGAGGCAGATAAGTGCCGAGATTAGAGGGACAGTGCAGCTCCGACAAGCAGCTTCCTCCCTAAGAACAAGATTGCCAGCACGGGAGATGGGACTGTCCACTGCCGAGTCTCTCTGATGTCCCTCTTACTTCTTCTGGCCACCCCCAGTTGAGAAGCACCCCATCCAGGCACCCTGCCTCACATGCCTGCACCTGTCAAATTAAGGTCTGTCTCTAGCATGAGACTGACCCAGTCAGAGCGCAGCACACCATCCACAGCTGCACATACTTGAGCACAGGGTGAACTAGCCTAGGCAAAGCCCAGTGGATCCTGTTCACTCTTTTGGGGCCAGCTCAGAAGGGCCAGTATACAGCAAGTGCTCTGAAGACCAGATAGCCCAGTGTCCGATTCTGTCCCCCTAACTAGCTCCTTAGCCTTCCTGCAGGCCACAACCCAGGCTCTGTCCTGAGCCCATGCTAGCTGCCCTAATTTACTTTGAAAATGGACACAACACCCAGGGAAGGTTCAGAGCCCAGTAGAGACAAGGCTTTCATCTTCTGTGTTCCACTGTTCATCTCTGCTAGGGCAACTAAGCCACCGTGGCTTCAGCCTAGGAAATGAGGCGACGCAGGGCTGAGACAGACACAGCTAGAGCTGGAGCCCTGCAAAGAGAGAGATGAAGCTCAGTTCAGAGTCAGGATCAGTCTGTTTGAAGTCACAAGCCATGCTCAGGTTGAGGTTCTGGTCAATCTCTCATTCTGTGCTTGTGTTAGAACTTAGTGTACAGTTGGGATCAAGGTTTAGCTGGTGCTATGTCAGGGCTCAGTGTGTGGCTGGGATCAGGGCTCAGTCAGTGCCATATCAAGACTCAGTCTATGGCTAGGACCATGGCTTGGTCTACAGCTAGGATCAGAAACTAGTCTATGGCTTTGATCAGGGCTCAGTTTGGGCTGGTGTTGAGGGGCTCTGGCTGTGACTAAGACCAGAGACAAACTTGTACCTGACATAAGAGATCTGTCTATGGTTGGTCAAAAATTGTTATGCAGATAGGATCAAGGCTCAATGTGTGAATCGCCTTAGTCAATATGTATCTGGGATCAGGGATCAGGAGGGTATTCATGGCTAGGGTAGTCTGTGTCTATATAAAGCCTCCATCTGTGGCTAGGATCAGGGCTCAGACTGTGATTGGGATTCAGGCTCTGACTGTAGCAGGAACTGGGAATCATCTCAGGGCTTGGATTGGAGCTCAGTCTGGGCCTGAGCCTGGACAGTGTGCATCTACCCAAGTCTTCCTCACTTCCCAGTGGTCTTGGGTCAGGTTGGGCAACTGAACCGTGCTTCCTCTTCAGATCAGAGTGTTCTTGGCCAGCACCCAGGTGCTGATTCCCGGGGGAGAGGCCTGTTCCTGCCAGCCACATTCCCACACTTGCTTGGGAGGGTGCCAGCGGGTGGTAAGTGTCGAGGGGCTGCCTTCTAGGGGGCCTCTGTCTTGTCCTTCTAGCTGCTGTCACTGTCACCAGCAGTAGGCTCCTGCAGAAGGACCCCTGTCTCACAGGCCCATCATCCTCCTGTCCAATAAAAGACCAGAAGATGGAGGTTTTGGGAGGTCGGCACCCCAAAGCTAAAAGACCAAGTTACTTCCCCAAGGGAACTGCCAGCAGGTAGTTCCAGAAGTTTAATGTGGGCCTGTGCTTTCTTGGGCCTCAGTTTCCCAAAATGACAACAGAGTGGAGAAAGTTAATAGCCGGGGCAGAATCTGTCTAAGGCCCCTCTACTGAAACAGCTCTGACAAATCAGGGATGTGCCGGGGTTTCGTTTGCTCCTGGAGGGACTTCCGTTAGCCAGGGACTCCCAGAGAGGAGTATGTCCTTAAAACTACAGGCCCATCCCAGGGCTGGGTAGGCTAGAAAGATTCAGGGGTCCAAGGGTCTGGCCTGGACTCTAGGGATTTTCACTGATCTCAGGTCTGTTACCCAAGGAGTGTAGCTAGCTTTCAGAGGTCAGGTGCGCATGGGAGGTGCAGGCCCATGGCCAGGCTGCAATCAGGTCTTGGCTCTGTGGGGCCAAGGAGATATACCAGTGTGGCTAGACATATCCAGGGACTCAGTCCAACACTAGACCAGATCGGAGAGGCAGAAACCACAGACCACCATTCCCCAGGCTGATAATGTTAGGGCCCTAAGATTCCTGGTGTTGTGTCCTGAGGCGACAGCCACCTGCTGCGGAAACAAAGATCTGTGCCCCGAGGTGGCCATTTCTGTCATCATATTTCTCTCCAAAGAGTCTCTCCGAGGCCTGTGATGATGGTGCTATGTCTGTGGCAGGGATAGAGTATGCAGCTGAGCCAGGCTCCATAGACATGTCTCAATCAACTTTATCACCCTAGCTTCCAGGGGTGGGGATAGGACCAGGGAGGGCCAGGACCCTGGGCCAGCCTTCCAGACTAGCTTCAGGGAGGACAGAAGCTTATGTCCTCGCTGGCCTGGGGGCTGGGATGTGGGAGCGGCTTGGCCTGTGTTACAACCTTCTCTATTCCTGCCATGTCCAGACTTGCCGCAGCTCCTGCCCCCAGGCCCAGAGAAGAGCCTCGCCTTCCTTCCCAAGACCAGGACAACAAGTCTCAGCGTGGCCTGGTCTCTGTGCCAGCTCTGAGCGTGAGAACATGCTGAGCAGAGGAGGGAAGAGTGGCAGGTGGCCAGGTGTGAGCACCAGCAAGTGCCCCTCAGGAAGCCACAAGGATGCTGCCCAGCCCCCAGCTGCTCCTTGACTGGTCGTCCAGGTCTCCACTGGGGCTGGTGGGGGACCCTCCTCCTATGCTCCTGAGTTGACCAGCCTGCAGCCCTACCCACGCCATCAGCTCTGCACACATCAGCACTGCACACACAGTACACAGCTGGTGCTCAGCAATTGCTTCTGCCAGGAAGTAGACACAACTGGGTAGTTTGACCACATGGTCAGTGAGGGCCACAGGAGCCTGGCCAGGATTATAGAAATCAGAGTTATGGAGTCTAGGTACCCTTGAGGCTACTGTCCCCTAGTATGAGGATGGAGAGCTGAGTCTAGAGCCTTCTGGGGCCACTGTGTCTGCCTCAGGGATGGAGGTCAACAGGTGCCACCCTGGAGACACTCAGGGCTTGGCACACTGATACCTAGTCTCCAGGGTCATTTGGGTGATCTCTGGTTCCTCACGAACCACGAGATAGCGGAGAGACAGTGAGAGGACTCCCTGGGGTAGGAGCCAGCTCTAGGGGCCAGGAGATCCATCTCTAGCACCTAGTTGCAGCGAGCATTGCCCGGGCATGTGCCCTGCTTGATCCGGCAGCTGCCCTAAGAGGCATCATCAGTAAGTGTACTTACCACTAGAAGAGCTAGGTAGTGGTCTTCAAGCACTGACCATGACATAGACAAAGAAACAGCTTGCCCAGGACACCCAACCTCTGTACCCTGAAGTAATTTCAGAGCCTTTCCAGGTCCCAGGACATAGGGGAGTTAAGTCGGGGGCAGAGAGTCCTGGGGAGGCTCCTGGAGGAGGTGGCCATGCCCTGGCCACAAAGTCAAGCTCTTCTTGGAGTGGCAGTAGGGATGGAGCCTGAGGAGCAGAAGAGGACTTGGAAGGAGCATGAAGAAGGGGTCATCAGCCATGAAGGTCCAGGCTGTGTGTCCCTACGAGGCAGGGACAGCAGGTGGGTGTGGCCTGTCATTTGCTGCCCCAGACTGTGCCTGGCCCTGACCAGGGCTCACCCTGGGCCTGCTTCCCGCTACTCTTTGTTCATCACTGTTCTGAACCCCCCACCATGGCCACTTAGCTTCCATAGGTTCGTATCCTGGACACTGAGGGCAGAAACCCCCAAGAGGCCTTACTCAGCACCCTTCTAGCCATAGCAAAGCTCCCAAAGCAGTGGATGCAATACAGAGGTCATACAGGGACAGTGCCATGACCGGACACTGATGGGAGCAGGAAAGAGACCAAGGAATGAGGCAGGGCCAGACAGCTGCAGAAGACCTGTAGGTGGGTAGTAGGACACTACACTGGCTTAAGGGTAGTGTCTTTGAAAGAGGCCTTGGGGTAGGTCTGGCTGCGGTAGTGCCAAGTCCTGTGAGCAGTGTACCACCTGTATAATGGTCCAGGAAATCTTTGCTAGGCACGTCCAGAGTAGCCAAAGAAGAATTGCCCTGGCACAGGGAGGAGCTGCCAACTCCAGGAGCCTCTGTTTGCAGGTCAGTCCCTTTCACCAAGCCCAGCTCCAGGACCCTCTTCACCCCTAGCAGTACCACTGCAGAGAGATGACCTTCCTTGTTTATTCCCTGACTCCCTGCCTCTACTTCATCTGCCCAGAGGAAGGAAAACCCTGTCACTGGCCCCACCTGTGGCAGCCTGTGCTGTGAACAGGAAGCCCAGGACATGAGGCCACCACCCACCTGCCTGCAGCCAGGAGAAGCATGCAAGGAGGGGGTGCTGGGTCTTGGCTGCACATAGACCCCAGGCCCCCCACCTGTGAGTCCACCCAGAACTGCCTTTCCCTCTAGCTTGGTCCATACTCCAAAGAGACTTCTCGATTTCCAGGCATGCCTAGGCAAAACACATAGCTCCCTTAGGCACCCAGGGTCTCTGAAGAATATAGGACTCTACCACCCAAGGGCCAAGGGTGCAACTGGGGACCTGGAGGAGGAGCCTATCTCAATGTGCCCCTCTGCTCATGCACTTTTCCCAGATGTGGGCCAGGCTGAGAAGTGCCATCCCTAGGCATTTGGTGAGGGCTTTGGGCAGATAACCTTTCAGAGACCAAGGTTATTGCAACAACCAGGACCCAGTGGTTACTGCAAGGGCCCTGGTGGTTTGGGGTCTGGACATAGAGCACTTTGCCCAGGCAGGTGAGGCATGCAGTGCCCACCACCACTCTCTCAGGGACCTGCAGCCCAGGGACATGTCTCCACAGGGTCTCTGGGCTGGTACCCCCCTCCCCCGTGGGAGAGGAGCCTGGGAGCCCGAGGCGGGCAGCAGGTTGGGACCTGAAAGTGACGAGGGTTTCTGCCACAGCCTTCATGTGATGTTGCAAGAGGAACAAGAAGTCTGGCTTCAGGCACTGGGTGGGTCCCGGTGGGGGGCGGGGGGGCGGGGGTGACTGAAAGGCTTTGGTGTGGGAAGAGGGGCTCTATGAGATCCCAGAGAGCCCCAGGTCTTCTGAGACACGCCCCCCCCCGACATGGGGAGGCAACTCCATGTCTGCTCCTAGGAAGCCTTGGTCAGTGTCCCTCTGGTAAGATTGTGGGGAGCAGCTGTCTCCTTCCTGATCTACAGTCATTGAGCCCGGGGTTCTGGTGGAAGAGTATGGCCTGGGACATTGCAGGCAAGCTCTTGGGAACTGTCTGGTTGTCCCTCCATCCCATTCTTCCTTTCCAGAGAGCACCCAGTAGGGCCTGCAGGGGTGTGGCTACATGATGTTGAAGAGACAAGAGCCAGTGTAGTCCACCCAAATGTGTCTGCAACCCCAGGGCAGGTTACTTCCCTTTTCCAGGCCTTGATTTCCCTCAAAAAACCATTATGGCCAAATCAGCCCCTACAGACCTCTGGGATTCCCTGGCCAGGGGCCACAGCCCCTGACCATGTCTGCGAAATCTCCCTTCTTGGCCCTGTGACAAGTTCCCAGCATCTGCTCCAGCT